CTTGCCCTGCTGGCTTTTCTTCCTTATACAATTTTTTTACCCAAGATAAGGGGGGGGGGGAGCATCCCAGGCCCCCCTGGACCCCTCTCCTAGATCTACCACTGACAGTTAGCATGCTGTACCCTGGGGTCAAACAGTCTGGGTTTGAGCAGGGGCCAGGCTTACTACGATGTGTTCTTGGGCAAGACATTTAACTCTCATGTCCCTCTCTCCATCCAGGAGAACAAATGGATACCGCAGAATGTTATGCTGGGGGGTAACCCTGTGATGGACCAGTATCCCATCCAAAGAGGAGTAGAAATTCTCCTGCTTGTCACATGCTACAGAAACTGGGATAAGGCCTGACACAGATTTACCTTTGATTGGGTTTTCTTGAAATAGTAAAAACTTCCTCAAACTATGATATTTAATAATTAAGTCAATTGACTTGTATATGCATGCACTGAATGAATGACGGTACTGCACAGCATGGCTTTTTACAGACCAGCTCCTTAACATCCCTCCAACCCCACACATACAATTAACAAGTTTTGTAGTCCATGACGCTTCTAAAGTAGGTGAATACAGTGAAATGAAAATGATTATGTCTGAATAGTTTTTTTTTACTTATTGGTGGCTCATACACTGTATACCTGAGAATTCTTTATTGCTGAACGGAAAGCTGTTGCTGTTTCGTTCACTAGTTTTGTCAGTAATGTAACCTCTCTTGACCTCTTGGCTATTGGCGACTCAATATCGATATTCACTCCATCAGCATGGCGAGCTAGAGCTTCTTGAGTCAAGTTGTGTATCCATTTGGTTCTTACTTCTTTACTACTCAGCTTTTCTGTGGGAAAGTTGGCAGCCAAGACAACTCGAACACCCTGCAAAAGGAAAATGAAAGTTGCATGTTCAGTTGTCAGTGTAATTGGTAAGATTAGTGCTTGATAGGAGGAGTATTTGTCACTTTCACCTGCAGCGCTGATCAAGTTTCAATTTTGGCCTACTGAACTTGGGGCTCAAAATAGCAATTATATTAAAATGACACAATTTCTGCCAAAAATTTATAACCAAGTCACATTCATGTACCAACTAGAAGATTTACCAAATCGATGAGAATAGTTACAGCTGAGTTTACAAAGTTCAGGAACTCATGTTCAACTTTGATTATCAAAACAATAGCAAAATAATATTGCAGCAAGAAAGACAGATGTGAAACTTGGAATGAAGAGGTTTTTCTCAAACTAATCATAATGTTTCTCTCAAGATGCATCTTGTTTCTTTTCAGACACCTCCCATTGCCTTCTTGTGCCACTCGAGGCAGCACAGATTTACTGATTTGAACAGGTGTAAACAATCCCTCATCAGCTATTACAAACAGAATATACAAATATCCTGGACGGCAACAATGAAATGTGAACTATGATAATGATAACCTTTATTTCATGTGGTCAAATGTGCATAGCTAAATAGCTACTTTACAGACACGCCACAAAATAAAAATAGCAACAAAAATCTACAAAAAGTACATATTTACAATTAAAAATGAAATCAGTCACGAACTACCACTACAATCCTGATAAAAAGTCCTTGGACGCTTTAAACTTTTGCTAACATATGGTCTTTCTGTCCATGTCCACCTCCCCCTTCCCACCCCCAACACAATGTTGATGTTGATTCATTCAAAGTAGACATTGCTTTGCGGAGGGGGAAGGGGAGGGGGGTTCGCAAAATTCAATAATGGCTTCCCACTTCAAAATAATGGGTCACCAGTTGGCATTTTGTCAAGTGTCCCAAGGACTTTTGGCCAGGACTGTACTTTTTATAAATTAACAACTAGCGCAGCACTGACACAATGAAAAGAATTTTGACCTGTACAAATTTTTAGCCTGTAAACATTTTTGGTTTTCTTCTCATAATGCAAAATAATGAAATAATGAAAGAAAACATTTTTGTTTGTCCTGACAGAATGAAGACACTTTGTGGAGAAATTCCTATAATCACATGAGAAAAAGAGCAAAAATAAATGAATTCTCACACAAAATAAGGAATTCGAAAATCAAAAACATTTCTATAAAGTTAACCGTGATGACTGAGAGGAAACTTCCGGTAAAATAATATCAAGTATCAGAAATTTGATTATCTTTAGTTTCATATTTCATTAGGTAATGTCACTGAGAAATCTGCGGCAAGGAAAATATTTAACATGCAAAGCGCCAAATTGTCGAGTGTTTTTACGATTGCCTTCCAACTCAATCAAGTAATCAAGATATTTACTGTACAAATTAAGACTGATCGAGTAGAATCAATCAATCATTGTGTAAGTAAAGCTTATTTGTATGTTAAGCTTAATTCAACTACGACATCACATGATTTTAAAATTACGAAAAGTGATAGGATTATTCTTAAATGAAGCATCCAGTCTTTGGCTGACGCATTTGAAGTTGTCACGGTGAGAACATAACAATAACATTTCGTTTCTTGTAAATTCCAAAGAAATGAAGTCAGAAATTGTCATCGCGCGTCCCAAGAAAGAATATGACGAGATTTCGCTCGAGTTTTGAAAGAATGCTTTTTGTGGCTCTACACCACAATAGTAGCCCTGCAAATAAAATTAACAAGATAACGGATAAATAAATCAATTGATTTCTTACCCTTTTGTGTGCTTCACACATCAGTTCGTCGTCCCAAGGTCTGAACAGAGCGATCGTTGTCACTTTCGTCCAGTCGTACTTTCTCCACACATTAGGTTTAGTGGAAAACATAAGAAATTCTTTTCCCGGAGGTCTTGCGATTGGTTCACATAAAGACTGATCTTCACAAGGGCATTTTCCATTCACTGTGGCAGAAAAGCTGCCCCAAAACAGGAGAATGAGGGCCAAAAATCTGCTCGCCATGACCAAACAAGCTTTGACAGAAAGTACCAGTTCGAGGAGTTGGAACTGGAAACGAGGAAGCTTAGCTTTCATGTCACGTGGTAATCATGTGACTTGGTCTCGGCCGCGTTAGTTACAAAGAAGTAGGTCTGCACTTCGTACTTGTGTGTGCGTTTTGTCCTTTTTGCTTTTTTGAATTTTACGGGTTGAGGAACTTATTGGAAACAGGCAGGGTGCTGTTCCGTCACTCTGTTACTTCACTCTGTACCGTCGTCACAGCGTTGCGCCTTTTTTTGACGAGAAATATGTTCAGTTGTGAAAGACCTTTGGAGGAAGGGAGCATTTTTTTTTACATCGATGGAGGTCTTTGGTTCATAAATATCACATGCGAATAAAAATATCGTGCAACATAAAATCCCTGGGTACCGATTTTATCAGAGTAAGTTCTAAAAATAACATGTAGTAAATATTAACGAGAGAACATTTCGAAATGCATTTGATAATGAATATTACAATAAACTACGACGTTTCGCAGTCATCTTGACGCCATTATCATGTAGAGGTGTTAGCTGTAGTTTCGAGATTAAATACGAATAAAGGTGATAGAGTACATTAGAATAATAAGTGTTTCGTTGTCATTGGTGTTTGACGTGACAGTGCGTGCGGTAAAAGTAAATACTTTTGCACGTATTGAGTCTGACTGCGCGTTAGCATTTCTTGAATGAGGCAGTCCAGTTTTCCTCGGCATTTCTTAAGAACGGAAAACATTTCCGCTAGGTCAGTGAAAGCTACACCGTGGACTTCTTTCATATGCTTGCCAATGACCGAGGCTTTATGCTCTTCTATGCGTTGGTGAAGTTGGTGTGGTGTAACCGATCCGGATCGCACGAATCACATTTGGGTTAGGGCGGCTCCATACTAGGCTCTATAATTTTGCGCGGAACATTTCGACGAATATCTCAACTTTGGGACAACGCACACACCTTAAACTTAGAGAACTGTCTTCTTTATTTATCGTCTATAACATCACAATTTCTTGACTTTATCCCTTGAATGGTTTTTGACTTTACTTTTTATTGCGTGACAATGAACACACTCTATAGGGCAACCAGCGCCGAACATTCAGGCCAATAATTTTTAGCTTGGGAAAGCGTACCAGCCCCTGTGCAACCTGCACTAACCACAAGCGGAGTCTTGATTAGCCTCCCACGCAGACGCTCTTAGGGCTCGTCACGTGTTCCGTTCTCGGAACGCATGATGAGCCCTAAGAGCGTCTGCGAAAGAGGCTAAAACTTGATATGTTGGCTTGTGTAAGCAAAATAACTCCCGATATGGACACCTGGAATGAGGAATGATGAAAGAAAGTTATCAATAAGCAGTACAACTGCAATCAACAATTTCAAAGCCTACGCGAAATTATGAATAAATGATAAATGAAAACAGACGTGCAATTAAGCGTAAGCTTAATTGTATGTAGTTAGGGTTAAATTTTTAAGAGTGTTCAGGAACATTCCGCCGATCCTGCAGGGGCCCGTTTCTCGAAGGTCCCGAAAAGTTCTCGCACCCGGAAAGCCGTAGTAAAATTTCAAACCTTATGACTACAGAACCGTTTTATTCATATATTCTTAATGTGAACAGAGGTACTCTTCATACAAGGAGTTTCAGGCGTATACACCTCTCTGTTTTTAGATACAGATTATCTAAAAATGGCTTTACAGGCCTGAAAAGTTTCCGGGGCTTTCGAGAAACGGGCCCCTGGGCAGGTCTTAATATACATGGTCTAACAATTAGACTACAAAATCTCTGCTGGCATTCTATCACGAACGCCGTTCTCTGATTGGCTACGCTACTCACTATTTATTTAACAAATAGATTCCATGTTGTCGTGCGTCTGTTCAGTAATAGACCAGACTTTACCTTTTTTACCCCAGTTATAGCTGGTTAAATTCTCTACAGCGATAGAATCTGGTATTTCTGTTTTGCTTCGGTAAGGTAAAAATAAAGTCTACATACGAGCCAAGTGGCTTATAGGCCGGAACTTTTCCCGGTTTCTGTAACATGAAGCGACCAGGAGTGTTTCCACTCCCCCTTGGATGGGATGCTAGTCTATCGCAGGGTACCCCCCAGGATTAAATTCGCCGGTACCCAGTTATACACCTGGGTGGAGAGAGGCACTGTGAGAGTAAAGTGTCTTGCCCAAGAACACAACACAATGTCCCAGGCCAAGGTTTTATTACGGTGATCCGTGCAAATGAGCTAAGAGCTATATACCACTAAGGAGGCTAATTCACGCCGATTCAATTCGAAAAGTCGTTCACTTCTCGTTGCGCTCCTCTACCTTGAGCTCTATGTACCAAAAGCGCTGCAGAAATTTATCGCTTACCGAGCATAACTTTCGCAGCTGGACTTGCGGGCAAGTCTGCAAATGGGCGCCACTCTATGACTGAGGCCTCGTCCACAATACGCCGGGGAAATTTGAAAACGGCGTTTTCACTCTGAAAACGTGACGAGTGTTTTCCGACCACACTACGCCGGAGAAATTTAAAAACGCAACAATCACCGGTCATTTTGGATTTGTATTTGAGGAAACCTCGGTCAGGGAAATCACAAGATTATCGTAATGTCATAGTTTTCGAAAAGCTCCGTTTTCTAAATGCTCTCCGTCCACACTAAACACAAGGCCGGCTTGGAGTGTGTTTTTCGAAAATCTCAATTTTCGTGTCGAATTAGTGTGGACGGTGGGCGTAACCGTAGAAATAAAGCT